AAGTTTTTTTTTTTTTTTTTCCTAAAACCAGTTTGTGTTTTCCTTTTTAAATGGAATGTTTTGATACAGGTCAATTTTAATGTAACCAAATCTATAAATTATTTCCTTTATAAATGATCTCTTTGCTGGTGTACCTGCATGAGAAGATCATACCATTCCGAGACTGATGGGCCTGCTCACCTGTACTGTGCTGGTTATATTATCATTTTACTCTGTCAACACTGTCATAAGAATTGCAGTTGACTGCAGTGTGAGCCAGCATATTATTTTGGAACTAGCTAGTTACCCACGATAGGAAATGCTGCTTTTGTCATGTGTTCTGTTTTCATGCATTTCATTCTATTCTATTTTGTTCTGTTCTGTTTCTCTTTCTTTCTCCTTTAGCTCTGGTATTCCCTATAAAGAATGTTTCTTCCAAACACTTAAAATCCACAAGTAGATATTGTGATTTGATTGGGATTTAGGGTCCACTGCATTCTGCTTTGACGTCACACAGCCTTCTTTGGTGCTCACGCTGCATCCGAAAGCTTCTCTTTCTGCAGGGTCCTGCTGCCCTCCTGCACTGCGCTTTTGCTCAGCGGTATCTGTGGAGGTTGCATCAGTGGTGAGCTCTGAGGTCTTGAGTGACTAACATGTCTGTCCCGTTCCTGTGATAACTGTCTCAGCTCAATGCTGAATTTCAGTTTCAGAAATACTTTTTTTGAACCTTTCCTGCTGATGGTTTTGGGCTCAGGTGTCTAATGATCCTTTTGTTATTGATTCATGCTTAGGAATATAGTTAGGATAGGTCGCTGGCATGGTCTGTTTCCCAGAAGGCCTATTCTCTGAGTCGCACTAGACATATCCAAGAGCAGTTTCCCAGTAGAACTTAAGGGCAGACCGCAGTGGGCAGGTAAGGAGGCAGTCCTGGCAGGGGGCATGCTGTGGTGCGGTTCTCGGGGTTGGGCTGCCTGCCTGCCCTCCCCCATTTCTTTCTGTGTTCCTGTCTCTCTCCTCAATCCGGGCCACACATAAGGACAGGCGTTAATTCAGGTTCTGATTTCTCCCCACATGCATCAGGCTTCGCAGCAGAATGGTCAGGAACATTGTCTCTGGGCTTCTGGGTTCACGTTCCAGCTCCTCACTTATTAGTTATAAGAAGAGCTAGTAAGTTTCTCACCTCCCAGTTCCCTTATGTGAAGTGAGATTCACAGATTCTGGCCGGGCGCGCTGGCTCCCGCCTATAATCCCAGCACTTTGGGAAGCCAAGGAGGGCAGATCATGAGGTCAAGAGATCGAGACCATCCAGGCCAACACGGTGAAACCCAGTGTCTACTAAAAAATACAAAAAATTAGCTGGGCATGGTGGTGTGCGCCTGTAGTCCCAGCTACTCAGGAGGCTGAGGCAGGAGAATTGCTTGAACCCAGGAGGCGGAGGTTGCAGTGAGCCAAAACTGCACCATTGCATGCCAGCCTGGTGCCTGGTGACAGAGTGAGACTCTGTCTCAAAAAAAAAAAAAAAAGAGATTCACAGATTCTGCCTAGCCCAAAGGCTGTGTGAGTAAATAGCCCCTGTAAATCCCTGAGGACAGGACAAGCATGTCAGCCCCTCACAGCACCATACCAGAGCCCTCGTCCCTGCAGATGAGTTCTCTGGTTTTCATCTGAGGTGCTCCCAGCAGAAGCTTTCTGCAGGCCAGAACGCCTCATAGAGCTGAGAATTCATTATCCTGTTGATTTCCCCATGCCCCACACTGCTATTTATAATATGTGACTCTTCAGTTCCCTTGAGAAGTAATTCTCTTTCTGCTGATATTCGGTGAAGTCTCTACAAGCCAGGCTCATCTCTTTCCCACTTTTCAGGACTTCTGAGAACTTTCCAGTCTATTGCTGCATCCTGGCTGGTGATTATTTTTTAAACAAAATGTCCTTCATTTTCTCACTGAGCTCTGAGTGATTTCTGTATCACAGATGTGTCTGTATTCTGCAGGTATAGAGGATCCAGCCAGTCCCTTCAGTGTGGGTGGGCCTGGGTTTGGGGGCTATTGTTCATAGCCTTCTGTCTGTCTGTGGAAATCACATGCAATACATACAGGCTTGAAGGGCCATGGTGGGTACACTGATGAAATTTTAGTAAAAGCTAAATGCTGGGTTAGTTTTCTGGGGCTACTATAAGAAGCCTCCCTTGAACAGGGGGGTTTAACCAGTAGAGTTGATGCTCTCACAGTCCTGAAGGGTGGATATCGGATATCGAGGACTATGCTGTAGACAAGACCAAGCTTTCTCCAATGCCCTGGGAGGACCCTTCCTTGCCTTCTGGTGGCCCCGGGCACTCCTTGGCTGCCTCCAGCATCCCAGGGCCACCTTCTCGGGTGTGTGTGCCTTTGAGTGGCTGTTTTAGAAGTCATCTCGGATTAGGGCCATTCGCCTTCTCTGTGATCTCGTCCTAACTGATTACATTTGCAGTGACACTGTTTCCAAATGAAGTCACATGCCAGGGTCTGCAACTCCAACATTCCTTTCTTCGGGGGGTGGGGGGCATACTTCAACCCATGGCCCATGCTGAGTGCTGTTTTGATGGAAGCAGCCCCACTATGGCTGATCTAAAGGCATTCTGCTCACCCCAGACGGAACTGTCATGTGGCGCTCTTGGCCGTGTGGAATGATGCTGCCGTCTTTCCCAGGTGCCCCCAGGGCTTCCCTGGGTGGGGGGTGTGTTTGCTGAGTCCTTGCCCGCTGGCCTTTTCCACCCCCTGCATCTATGAAGGGTGACTGGGTGACCTTGAAATATCTGGGCTGCAGCCTTTTTGTACCTGATGCTCAGTGAACATAGCTCTCTGGCATCTTCTGGCATTTAATATGCAGGAGAGAATTCTAAAGTCAGACTGAGACAACCTGTTTTTCTGCTTTTGTGATGCTTGTAATGAAATAAGGCTCAGATTTGACTCTTCATTGACTGTACCATGGCAAGCAGATCCATTTTACTTGCAAAGGTTTGTGTGGGTTGGTTTTAATCTGTTTTTATATCCAGCAAGGCCTTACTCTAAGTTCTGTCTTTGATGATCTCTTCCATTCCCTTATTTATGCTCTTTGCCGGGGGCCATCACTTATCCGTTAGAGCTGATTATACTCACTGCCCCAATGAGGATTTTTTTTTTTTAGTTTTTCAAATAAATTTTATTGTGTATATTTAAGGTAAACATGATGTGATGGGAAATGTATGCAGACAGTAAGAAGGTTACTGTAGTGAGACACTTTCAGTTACCCGCGTGTGAGTGGGGGCGGGGCAAGAGCTGCAGTTCTCAACTCATTCCACAGGAATCCCCTGTATATAATCCCCTGTCAGTGAGGATTTTAATCATGCTGCTGCGTTTCTGGATTCTTCTGGGGCAGGCTGATGGCATGGTTCTCACCCTAGTCATGTTCTAGGCTCTATCTTCAGGTGTGCCCAGCCCTGAAATAGGATCTGTCTCCTAGAGCAGGGGCAGACATGGAGGTCACACGGGAGTAGGAACTTAATCTTAACGTGGACGTTGTATCTGCCAGACCCCAATGACTGATTCTTACCAGCTCTTGGTAGGTTCTTGCTCTTCCAAGCCTATCGATGTGGGAACTAGTAATTTACTGTTCTGATTTTATTTCCCACTATGTCCGAGCTTTAAGCAAAAAGTATAAGCAAAACAAGCAAAAACAAGAAGGCTGCTCTAATCAGATGGATTTAGTCTTTATCATCCTGACGACGCTTGCCAGTGCTGGCCCGTGTCTTTGTTGAGCTGTTGTATTTCACCTTGAATGCCCTCCCCACACCAGAGTCAGCAATGCCCCCAGTTACCCTGCTCCTCCTCTGGGCATCCCTAGTCAAGCTGCCCTGGGGCCCTTCTTCCTCTGACCTCCGCTGTTCGTGTTTTCTGTGTATCTCATTGCATGCCTGTGGCCTTACATGTCTTTGGGTTAGTGGGTATGGTCTTGTCTCCCAGTAAGATCACAAGTCTCTCTCCATTCTATTCACGTCACAATTTGGTTTTGTTGTATATCAAATCTGATATACAACAGAAATTTTGAAAATGTTTCTAACAAATCTGATTTGTATGTGCCAAAGCATTCTGCGAGAGTCTTCTGTAAGACTGATAGAGCATGGTCTATGTTTTGATGCAGAGATGCTGGAGACACAGGTGACGTGTGCCCATTTCTACCAACAGTCTCTACTGGAGCTGGTAGTAACAGCTCAAAGTTCAAATTCCCAGTTTCCCTTTAGGCTCTTATTTTCTGTGATTTCACGAGGATGGAATGGCATTGTTAATGTGGCCTTCCATAAAGTGTGTCTGATTTCATCTGATTTCAATTCTAAGGGCACAGTCCCACCTGTCAGGCATAGAAGATACTCTGACCATGGAGCCTGGGTCTGTTTGGCGGGTGAATTGATCTGGGTTATTTTCAATTCCAGTGTGAATATGTAATGTAAATAACTTAGAACAAGTGTTCACAAAAGTGCACACTTAGTGCTGCAGATTAATACTGCCCATCCTTTTTCTTTCTTCACGTGTAAATGAGCAAAGGAACCCAGGAGGGACCCTGGAACGCAATGTGGTTTCTCGTTGAGCTGCTGAGCAGACGCTTTCTCCACGCTGGCTGTGAAACATAAATTCACTTTTGGCTTTTGCTGGTGGTGGGAGGAAATTGGCCCCATAGCCAGTGTTTTTATTTCAATCTGACCACCTGTTTCCAGAAAGCCTGGGGCTCTTTTATAAAGGACTTAAATTTTGAAAGAGTAGTGACAACCCCAATGTTACTAATTTCAGCTCTGACTCATCAAGGGCTTAGAGCTGCTTCCTCCTTCTCTGCGGGGGCCACTCCTTTGCCACCCACCTCCTAGATGCCCTTAACCACCCACTCCTCCTCCTCCCAGTTTGGAAGTCAGCCTTGAGAAAGTGACTGTGTTCCTTTCCCAGCTACTTGCTGGAACATGGGCAGTCGCACGTGGCCACCTCTGCATGGCCTCTGCCGGCCGGGTTGACCGTGAGCACGGAGGGCTGTCGGCTGCCGCTCCCTGTCTGTCATATGGCATTGCCCGGCTGCACTTCCTTAGGGCCCGGGCTGCCAGGAACCCTGTGTCCATCATTGGCACAATAGCAGCCCCAGGTTACAAGGCAGCAACAAAGCCCACGCTCTGGAGTTGAGATCAGAAGATCCAGTTCTACCTTTGATTGTTTTTCTGTACAAATAGGAATTATGTACATGCAAGGCTACAAATCAGCAGATGGCAAATCCAGCTGGAGCGAGAGGTTGGGGACAGGCAACTTCCCCAGGCCCTGGTGTCTCAGCGGCGTGCTGCAAGTTCCCAGCATGGGGCCCGTGGAGAGGAGGCAGCAAAGGAAAGCCTTGTGCCTAACAGGAGCCCCGTGAGACTCCCAGTTCAGGAGCACGATGTGCTGTGTGGCTAGGGCCCATGGAATCCAGTTCAGACACCCCTCTTTTTTTCTGCAGAAAGCCGCCCCTGCCAAGGCTTGCTGGCCCCACCTGGAAATTATAACAGGTCCGTGAGCAGCTGCACATGCACATGTACTGTTTCTCTGTGGAGATTTGATTCTGCTGTCCCCCTGCTGACTGTGGAGCCGACTCCATGGAGGTCCTTGTTCCTCTTTTTAAACCGCACTCAGGGAGCAGCTGAGCTCCTGCCTTGTTTACTTCAGACTTCACACCAGAGTGTACATTGGGGAGCAAAACGAAGGTCCCCCTGTTCCTTGGAAAGATGAAAATTCTCTAACCGTGACTGGGGTCTCCTTTTTCATTCATTTTATGCTGCATATTTTGCATTCGGATGTGATAAGAAGCCAAATAGATAAAAACAAAAGAACCTGAGTGAGTTGGGTGCAGGGTCTCGTTCTCATCTCCTGGGGGGCTTCCCCACAGGGCAGAGTGTACATTGTCCTGGAAAGTCCTGCCATAAATAACAACAGCCAGCAGGAAGTCAGACTCTACCCCCAAGCTAGTGAGGCTGGGCTACTAGTTCCAGCACCTTCAGCTGCGGCTTTTCAGAGAAGTGGGCCCTTTGTCTTCTACTTCGGAATCCACTTATGTTTTACATTTTTGTATATATATAATGTTTATGATGGTTTGCTTTTTTTTTTTTTTTTTAAGCCAGTGACAGACTTCAAAAAGGGCAGACTTTTTCAAGAGAGATATTATATCACTGCATTAGAAATTCAGGAAGAACTAAAATGTTATTTCTGAGAACCACTCTATGCCAAGTACTGTTTTGGGAGTTTTGCATGTGTGGGTTCATTTATTTCTCACAATGACCAATCCAGGTAGGACCCCCTCATTCTACGTAGGAGGGAAATGAAGCCAGGGACAGGTGAGGAGCTTGCCTGATGCCTTACAATTAGAGTGACGGCAGTTAGAACTGGTTTTGATGATGCATTTCTCTTGTACTTATAAAAAGCAGATACGAATCTCTAGTTTGTGCTTACCTCGTCTTCCTTGCTTCCCTCTGTCCCATGCCAGCGTCCAGCCAAGCCTTTCTTGGGCCTGCAGGGGCTCCAACCCAGGAGCTGTGGACTGTGGGCTGTTGTGTTTCAGTAAGATATTTCCGTGAGTTCATAAAAGCAAAATCATTTCTTACTTCTGTGTTAGTCTAATGTCAGTGTTCCTGATGAGTGGCCACTTTTCTTACATGTGGGGATTTGGGAGACCCAGCCTCCTCCTTTGTATACCAACAGCCCTGAGGCCCTACAGTCAGCTTGGTGGGGAAAAGACTAGGAAGGAAGCACCTGCTTCTTAAAGGTAAACTATCCACACACACCCCATTGGCCAGGACTGGTCACGTGACCACATCTGGCTGCAAGGCGGTCTGGGAAATGTAGTCCCCACTGGGAGGCACCTGGCGGGAGCCCCAACCTATGGCAGGAGCAGAGATTTCGAAGGCTGCTGGCTCGCTCTGCCCTGGAGGTAATGCTGAAATTTGACTTTGTGTATAACTGATGTGAATTACCTTTGTCATATCTTTGGAATAAGCTGTGGTCATTCTTTTTCTTTCCTCCTGTTGTATATATAGACTGATTCATGGGTCTTATTAAAAAACTTGTTTGATATCATGTTTGAGATTTGCTCTTTAACCTTAAAAGATTAGCCTGGGCAATTGCACCCAATTATAAGTAAATGTGAAAATTAGGTTCTATAATTTGGTTGGCAGTAAACATATTGGAGAACCATAACTGATCAATACAGATATGTCAGCAATTCTCAATTCTTTAATCTTCAAGAGAAATATCCTCAAAATTAAGAAGCTGAAGTTGCTGAGGATGTGAGACTGAAAGGCGAGGATGGCTTTGCTTCCAGCCTGGAGTCACTCACCCCCTCTTTTTCATGTAGCCAGAGCTGCGTCTTTTTCCATGTATTTCGGGGCATTCTGGCTGGAAGGAAAAATGTGTTAGTTATGATCTTCTTTAGAAACTCGAGTTTCCTGAGCCCACATCGTCGTAGCAATTTGTCCCCACACGTGTGCTCGGCACTGAGAGGCGCAAAGACGACCAAGAAGCTCTCGGGTTTTCTCACACTAGTTGCTACAGCAGAATCTGCTGTGTATTTCGAGATATCTTGGGAATGACACACCAAGGTGCCACCCCCTCGGGGATCTTAAAATAGGTCCAGATTGAATCTTAAGCTAATGTTGTTAGTGTAAATCCTGCGTTCCACCAAATGTTTCTGAGCTTCTAGACCAATATTGCATTTCAAATAGATCAATCATGGTGTCTCCATGAGAAATGAATTCTATTGCAATACTTTCTGTGCTCACAGCTCCTCAGTGTATTTACTGAAAACTTGGCATGACAGCATAACACCTTTGTTTCAGTTAAAATTTCAGTTAAAACTACCATAAAATAAGGTGCATAAGATCATAATCACAGATGGAAATGACCAGATTGGGGTATACTGAGTTTCCTTAAATACTGAGAGCGAGCATCCCAAATGCCCAGGCATTTTTCATCTGTTAATGTCATGACATAACTGGCCTAATAGAGCTATAAAATGTGTTTTAAGATGTAAATTTTGACATTTAGAGTGTCCCTGTCATCGCTGAGTAAGGTCATGCTGTTACTACAAATGAGGGATGCGATGTTACGGACTAAATTGCATCCCTCCAAATTCACATTTGGAAGCTCCAACCCACAGTGTGATTCTATGCAGAGAAAGGCCCTCAAATAAGTAATTAAGGTGAAGTGAGGTCCTAAGTATGGGGCCTTGATTCGATGGGAGTAGTGTCCTTAGAGGAAGAGGAAGAGACCAGAGCCCTTGCTCCACCACCAAAGGCGCTGCCAGAAGCAGCCCTCTGTGAGCTAGGAATCGGGCCCTCACCAGGACCAAATGACCAACACCTTCGTCGTCGCCTTCCAGCCTCCAGAACTGTGGGAAATAAATGTCTGTTTTGTAAGCCACCCAATCCATAGTACTTTGTTATGGCAGCTCAGGCAGACTAAGACAGGAGCAAAACACACCAGGGCATTTTAAATTGATTGACCTTGTTTCATTGTACAGCTGGCCTACCAGAGCTATAAAATATATTTTAAGATGTGCATTTTTATTGACTCTGAGAGGGCCACTCACTATGGGGTAAAGTCATGAAATTACTTGAACTAAAACAAATAAATTGAGTGTTTTGCCCTAGCATATGTTACCATTAGATAGAATCCATGGTACGTTTATGGAAGTAAAATCTGTAGAAAAACATGAGAACTGGCAATTTTGCAAATTTCTTCCTATGGCATAGGACTTCTGATGGCATGGTGCCTCCCAGACTGAAACGAGCCAAGTGAGATACACGTCCTCTGCCGTCCAGAGGAGAGAGCCACCGTCTTGCAATGCTCGTCTCTTTTGGCCATTGGCGCTTTAATAAGCGCTCAGGAATTCAGTGGGCTTAGCTTCAGTTTTTCATGACAAACTGTCACGTGTGAACATTTATCAGGAGCGTCCCTCCTTTGTCACCAGCGGGGAGACCCTGGTGTAGACATGACTTCTGCAGTGTTCTGGCACGGCCTGGCCAGAGCTCAGAGAGGATGTGCAGGGCACTTAAGCGCTCCACCACCAGCTTCTTCCTGTTGGTTTCGCCTCTGCTCTTTGAAGTTGCTCAACAGTTTAATCACCAAGACTCATAGGAGGCAAAGTGCAGTGAGCTGTTTCCGCAGATCACAGCGACAGTGCCGTGGTTTGACCTGAGAAGGCTGTGCCCTCTGATGCCAGTCCTGTGGGGTGCAGAGGGCTAGACCCTGGGGTGAGCTGGGCATGAGGCCATGTGCTTTCTAAACAAGCACAGATTCAGCACTTTTAGCTCACAAATAGCAATGTGGTTGTTTCTAGGATCTCCTTATGTGTAATACGATACCTTGAAAAGCATGCTAATGCAAGTAAAACTGATCAAACTGCTTTGTCTTTTTAGAATTGATATTGAAGTAATTATTGTATATATGCTTTAGTCTGTTTGTCCCAAGTGAATTATGAGTAAAAGCAGTCAACAACCAAGTCAAGACAAAGGATGTGAATTGTAAAGTATGAGAAAACGTGGAGGGTAAAAAATATAATGAGTTATTTTTCTTAAATCTTCAAATTATTATCCACATCAAGCTACCAAATATATTTAAGTTTTAAAACTAGCCTATTAATATACTGCTGTAGTTTGTGGCTTTTATTATTCAAGAGGTTTTTTGTGTGTGTTTTGTCTTTTCCTTCGCTGTCAGTTGGATTCATAATAGCAATTCTTACATAAGACCCCCTAAAAGAGGTTCTTCCAAAGTCTTCTGGCTTTCTCATTCAAGATGGAAATCACATCTAATGTCTTGACTAATGGAAATTGCATTACTGCCCATTTTTGGCACTTTTTCTGTAGAGAAATGCCATTTCGTTTTCCAAAATAAAATATATGAATTTATGAATTTGATAAAAATTCATTGCATACTATAAAACTTGTGATTTATGAAAAATCTCTCAGAGCTCCATGCTACATTTCAATTGTGGAATGGAATTTGTGCTGGTAAAATGGCTGTATATTCATCTACACCCAACTAACGAGGTCGTGGTGGTGAGCAGCTATGAACAGTCAGTGTAATAGATTAGTACATGGTCCTTTAACGTGTGTTCACTCTCACAGGAAGTTTGGTTTTGTTGAACACATTTATAGTCAAATAAAAAGGCTTTATTTCAAAAAGTGCATGCTGCCAGAAGCCAGCCCAACAGTTGAGATCTACGTGGATGGCTCAGCAGCTTTCTGTGGCCAGTGTGCTTGCCCTCTCCTGTGCCCTCCTGCTCAGCCCACCTGCCCACTGGGTATTCCACCCCATCCCACCACCTCCCCATGCCTTCCTGCTCAGACCACCTGCCCAGACCACCTGCCCAGTGGGTATTCCACCCTGTCTCGCCCCCTCCCCATGCCATCCTGCCCAGCCCACCTGCCCACTGGGTATTCCACCCCATTCTGCCCTCTCCCTGTGCCCTCCCACTCAGCCCTCCTGCTCAGACCACCTGTCCAGCGGGTATTCCACCCCATCTCACCCAGTGTGGGTCCTCATTTAAAGTGGTGACTTCTAAGGGCTTTCAAATCTAAACTAGTCTGTCCCTGGGTACAATTCTCTGTAATTCAAATAGAAAGTTAATATAAGGAGAATGCACACAGTGAAATACCCACCCACTGCCCGACAGACTCGAAGCTGGGCTCTCTGTGGCCTGAATAGGCTGCCCTGCCTGGTCCTTGGGTTTGTGGAAAATGCCACACCCACTTGAGAACATCCAGCAGAAGGAAGGGCTGAGGGGATGTCAGTTCCATCCCTGAGAAGCAAAACACTTTGGCCTGCCCGTCTAGGTGGGTGTGGAGAGGCCTAGGCCCCAGAAGGCGCCGTAGCGCAGGTGCTATGTTTATTCTCCACAGAGGCCTTGAGGGGAAGGAGTTGTCATGAGAAAAGTTGATACTATCAAAAGCAGAGTGGATATTTGAGTGGATTTTCACTTAAAGAATTGTAGGCAATATGTATGTGCAATATTAAATTCCTCAGCCCTGGCTAAGCGCAGTGGCTCGTGCCTGTAATCCCAGCACTTTGGGAGGCCAAGGGAGGTGGATAACCTGAGGTCAGGAGTTCAAGACCAGCCTGGCTACTAAAAATACAAAAATTAGCCAGGTGTGGTGGCAGGTGCCTGTAGTCCCAGCTACTTGGGAAGCTGAGGCACAACAATCACTTGAACCTCGGAGGCGGAGGTTGCAGTGAGCCGAGATTGCGCCACTGCACTCCAGCCTGGGCGATAGAGTGAGACTTGGTCTCAAAAAAAAAAAAAAAAAAAATCCTCAGCGCTTTTTCTATTTTTTGGAAATCATCACTGTGGGTTTCGTGTCTTTTACCACTTAAATATTTAATGTCCCCCTTTCCTACCCCCTACCCCCGCCACACATGAAAATCCAGTCCATGTCCAATCGGATCTGGTTCCCCCAGGGACACAGGGAACGCTGGGCTCACTGGGCCTTCTGATCTCAGCCGTCCTCACTGGGGACCCTCTGGGGGGTCGGGGCGGGTGTCGGGATAGACTGAAAAGCAGGTCTTTTTGCCCAGTTTGATCGCATACAATGACAGGCACAGACTAGGGGCAATCTAGAGCAAGCTTGTCCAACCCACAGCCTGCAGGCTTTGAGTGCTGCCCAACACAAATTCCTAAACTTTCTCAAAACATTACGAGGCTTATGCACTCACCTTTTTTGTCTTAAAGCTCATCAGCTATCGTTTGTGTTAGTGGATTTTATGTGTGACCCAAAACAGTGCTGCTTCTTCCAGTGTGGCCCAGGAAAGCCAAAAGATTGGACCACCTGAAGTTTCCTTCAGACCTTTGGATACGCACGGGACTCCAGCTTAAGCCAGGGTAGATGGGCACAGTGGGTTTAAGGCCGCCCTCCAGGGTTCCTGGATGCCTGTTCTACCTTCGCTGGTGCCTGGTGTCCTGAGAGCCATAGGGCGGCTGTGTCACAGGGGCCCTTTCCTCTCCAACTTTTCACGGTGTGTCCTG